GGAAGCGGCGTAGGCGCTCGCGATTGGAATATGTGGCGCCCGCACGTCTCTATCTCTCTCTCTCGGTCGGCCATCGCCGGCACTTCGCCGTTCAGTGAATCTGCCTCCAGGGGGCTAAATGCAGTACATTAATTTGCATAGAGTGCTCAAAAAGCTTGACTCCGAAGAATTACATTCTACAGCGACGTGCAACAAACACTCAAGAACCAATACCTTTATTTAGAGATCATTACATACTATAATTCAAACATAATATAATATAACATAATTCAAATATAATATAATCATAATATAGTAGCATTTAGAATAATATTTTATTTTTTTAAGATGAATAATGCAAGAAAGTGACGTTACTATGCCTAATTTCTTGCTAACACTGCACAAATTGTAAACTAAACAAAGTGTAAAGAAAGTGTAAACTGGGTTACTATTGAAGTATTAAACATTTTTCAATAAAAAATATAAACGATATTTATTTATTCATGTGCCTCAAATAAGTGTTTACAATTTTGGTGCATTGCAATTGCAATTTTGGTTCAAGTAAATTAAATGTAAGTCTATATTTTTCCACTTTAATATCACTTCAGAGTTCAAACCAACATTTTCAGCATTCTTTGCAATCTGTAGGAATAAGGAATGTAGCTATGTTGTTTTGTTTTGTTGTTCTTTGATATAAAAGCGATTGGTACTGATGAAAATAGCAATATGCTCAAACAAGAATGTTTGAGTCGAATGTTCGTCTTAGGCAATTAATTAGCCATAATACTGTTATGAGTGAACAGTAAAACAATTAGTTAACGTGACGAGAAAAACGAAAATACACACTCCAAAACATGTGAGGCAGGTACGCCATTTTCTACTGTTATTGGTTGAAAGCGATAGAATTATTACAATTTAAGAACTGAAAGCGAATTAAGGCAATAGGCAGTTTGTTTTTAAATAAATATGATAAAACAAAATGTAAGCAGACAACAAGAGTTAGTGGTGTCGCATTTTGCCTCGGAGAGGTGGTACTAATGACGGTCCGGGAATTAAGCTACTTCATTGAACGTCCACCAAACGCCGCCTTCACTGGTACCGCGACTGGAACCAGATGCAGCTAAGAGGAGCTTCCCACACGTTACATATTTATTTTACGTAATGGAAGAACATGAATCTCTTGTATTGTTCAAAAGGAAAAAAATATCCTTCAGTATTTTTAATGAATCACTTATTTTATCGCTAAGATGCTATTCATTTCCTTTGTTTAATAAACTATGTGGTTACATTGATAACAACTCGGAAATTCTCTGCTTTATGAAAAGTATTTGTCTCGGCAATGAGCCGTTCATCATCTTGCGACGGTATTCCTAACCCACGCCCCAATTAAAGGCAAGTATTGAATCCATCATGTACTGACGATCGTCAACACTGAGCCAATGCCCTTTTGCCATTTGCACACTCAATCCCGGACAACCACGCTTGCTGGGATGCGAAATAATTGATCATGGCTCCCTGTATGAAAGGAATTGGTAAAGGTTCCAAACCTGCAGAGAGAACGTTACAATCCTTGGCATTCACGTAACCTTACCTGAACGATTACTGGGAAATGACTATTGAACGGATATACTTGGAAACATTCGGTTCATAACTCACGGTTAGCTGGGCCGGTGATCATTTCCTAGTATTCAAACAAGTAACGAGCGGATTATGTACACAGAAACCAACATTTAGCGGAGAACGTGTGATCTAAGAATGAATGTAATGAAGGTAAGAGAAAAATGTCATTATTCCAATAATCTATGTTCACTTCTCGTCATTATATAGAACTAGGACCAGTTTACCTAGTTTAAGATAGTGTGGTATATTTCACCGATTTTGCTGAATTTGAAATACATGGACGGTAAACTGAAATATATGACGCTTTCATCATTTTTGAGACTACAAACTATAATTAATAAAAACATCTAACTTACATAAAATAAAATTAATCTAAAATAACCAGGAACATAAAAAGCATTAAAAACAAGACAATTCATCAGTAATATGCCTCATTGACAACCAATAGTCTCTCTATTGTATATCCAATTGAAATAGTGCGATGCACTTCAGCCATGCTGAAGTGCATCGTACTACATGTATAGTGATACTACATGTATACATGAAGTATCACTATTCCGTCATCCCCATGTAGTAAATAGAGTTCGAGTAATTTGCGTCCGTCCCTCCTGTCCACCAATCGAAGTCGAATGACACGAATTCGAAGCGTCTCGGTCGCTTGGAGGGGAACTGAGCTTTTGTAAAAGATCATAAGAAACAATTCTAAAAAAACGTGTTTTTATGTTTTTTTGAGCATCGAAAATGCTTGAGTGACTTACGGCTCATACGAGTACAGAAGAGACCCATAGCCCCTTTGAATCGTCTTCACTGACGAATTGATCAGCACAATGCTTGGACGGTTCTCACTAGAATATTCTGGAAGAGTTCAAGAGAAAAACCTACTTCGAGTACATTGGTAAAATTCTGTAAATTACAATACTTGTTTCCGGCATTTACTCGTATATTAATTGTTGTGACTTGATTTATCAGAATGACGACACTTAAATTTGTAATAAAAAAGAAAGGATAAAAGGAATATTTTAATCGAATTAAATATTCTTAATTCAACGTTCTATGCCCGAAAATAAACTTTAATCATATTATAGTTGCTAGTCTCGTATAAAGATATAATGTTTAAAAGTTATTTTTGTCATGAACTTGCAAAGCACAAGTATAACGTTTTAACATACTTGCCAGAGGTGCCAAACTAAGCTAGTCTAAAATAATCCAAAACATAAAAAAATTATCAATAATGTATCTTAAAGAGAATCTACAATCTGCAATCAATGTTCCCAGTCGCATCCCTAATGGGTTTTCCCAATAGCCGTTATGATGCATTCAGTACAAAACACGAATCACTATGCCTCCATGTGATCCACTTCATTTTTCGTTGATTGCGGTAATTGCAATTGAAAAGAATTGGACGTGGGCCAACGAAATCCCTCGCCCGACAAACGTCAATCAACCTTGTCGACCTTGCAATTGGCTTCGCGGGATGTCGAGTCGCGGCGCCAAAGACCCTTTTCGCACAGGAGGCGCATTCAGCGCGCCACCTCCAGCCCGCGACCCGCAGCGGCAGCAGCAGCAGCAGCAGCAGCAGCATTGTGTGTTTGTGTGTCACGCGACGGGGAGTCCCTTCGGCAGAATCGAGCCACAACAGCGAAGAGAACCGCAATCACAAACCTTTGGAATCCGGCGTCGCGGGCGTGACGAGGCGGGGCTGGGTCGCGGGCGTGTGCTCGGCGGCGGCGGCGGCAGCGGGGGCGGTAGCGGGGGCGTGGATGGCGGAGGCGGCGACGCTAGGAGCGGCGCACAGTGATCCAGCAGAAAAGAAGAGCGGACAATAGAATCCAAAGGTCTTCTAAAATTCCCTCGTTAGTGAAATCAAAAACATTTTGTTGTATTGTAAAAAATGGAAAAACTATCAGTTCAAGAATGGTAATAAATTTAACATAGAAAATAGGCTTGAATTCATGGTGAATTTTAAAATTTTGTTGTAGCTGAATTGAATGCCTATAAACACACTGAAATATGGAATGTAAAATCCTGATCACAAATTGCTCATCCAATATGATGGTTACCTAAAATTTTAAAAATCACTACATATTAACCTTATACAATTTAAATAGCGTGCTTTTAACGTATTTTTTTCATGTCGGGACATTTTTCATGACATTTTATCTAGATTATATCTGGTATTGGCGCTGAGGGCTTAGAAGGTACATTAGTTAGGGCGGAAAAGTGCTCATAATTTAAAAAAATATGATACCGTAGATGTGCAAGTCTTTCAGAGAAGAAATAAGAATACACTTATTTATAACAAATTAGCAGACTGCTCGTTTAGCTTTAGACATACCCACAAAAAATGCTAGCTTTCCAAACACATGTTGAAAATTGAAAGAACGATTAACCCTTATTTAACCATTTCTCTCTGCATTTAAAAAATAAATATCAAACAAGATCTACGTGTTTCCAAATTATTTAACATTGCGAGAGCAAACAAAACACGCAAAAGAGTTGATGAAAAGAACAATTTTGCTGTCGATTACTATTAAGCAAGAAAAATGTTCGGTTTTTCATTGTAGCTTATCTTTCCTGTCACGAATATCTGCCCTAACTCATGACATTTGGACAAATCAAGAGACTTTTACTATTGAAGAACGAAATAATATACCATTTTCAGAGTTTAACAGCTGGATACAACTCAGTGCAGAAAAATAATAAGATGAATGAATATACTACTAGTGCTGAATTGCAAAAAAAAAATGGAGTCATGCATTTTATTCTTTATTGCTAATAATGGTAGTATTTAGCCATACCTCGTGAATTGATTGATGATTTCAGTCATGTCAACCGCACAGTCATTAGTACCAGTTGGTACCAGGAGGTGGCGGTGTTCCTCCGGGGAGCTCCGCTCTTCCATGTAGCAGTGAAGTGCATGTGTGTGTAAAGCAAACAACGCACGTTCTGAGGTCCGTTTCTTACGGAATTGCTTTGGTGCACTCCTGCAAATAATGGAAGAAATCAATGAAACTGTCCCCAAACTGGTCAAAAATGACTTATTTAAGGGCGGGAATATATTTTCAACAAATGCCGATGTCTATAAGTATAACACTCGACGCAGTATTCATATTCATCAGGTGAATGTATCAACAGCTCACTACAAAAGTCACATAAAATACATGAACAATCTTTTACAACACTTTGTCAGATGATATTAGACGAAAATTCGACACAAAAGTTTGACACAAGTAAAATATTCTCTGCTGCATAACTGTTTCTGTACAATTAGATATTATACCAAGCATCCAAAAGGAAAGTAATATTAATTTTAACAATGACAGTAAATGTATTATTACTTACTGGACTCTAAGCTGTATTCTAAAAAAACCTGTAATAAGATTGTACTTAGCTTCTGGGTCAATGATACCCACTCGATCAGGTTTTTGTTCACAGTTTCCCTGATCCTTGATCCAAAATGTAAGATGCCCTTGTTTTATTTCTGGGACATAAATGAAACTTCAAATTAACTAACGTCGTAGCAGCGTCACACACGTTTTTACTATTTTGACGTAAATAAATAAATAAATCTAGCAGAGCGGCCCGGCGTTAGAATTATTTTCCACACAGCGGCTGAATTTCGACCTCGATATACAGCTATTAGTGGGAACATCCACTACTGTTGAGACTCAAACCACGCTCTGTTCGGCCGAGGCCGCTGCCAGAGATGGCGACAATTGCTGACTCCCCAAGCTGAACAACCGGCACACACGTGTATTTTGAAATTTTTGCGTGGCTGAAAAGGCGTGATTAGAAACGCGTTGAAGGGGTTCGCGCGGGATTTCCGGTATCCTCTCGCCCACTGTGGGGACGGTGGGGCGGTCTGACTCTGTATGCGGCGCAGCCGTGGCGCGGGCGGGGCGGTGGGCGGGGGCGGGGCGGGGCGGGGGCGGTGGCCAAGCGAGCGGTCAGGGCGACGCTCAATCACAGCGCATGTTTACACGTCGTCCGACTAGATAGTGCGGCGAGAGCGGGCTCTTCATAAGGCAGGCGGCGTCGGCACAGGGAAGGGGAGACGCCGCAGGGAAAGAGAGAAACAGAGTGGGAGCAGCCGCAGAGGGCGACGAGTGAGTGCGGAAAGGCGTCGGAAGGGGATGCCGCGTTTGGCGGTGGTGATAGCATCTTGTTGCCGCATACGATCGGCGCGTTCGAAAGCCCGAACGCGGTATTTTATTCAGTAGTCACTCATGTCTAGCACGCGGTATGAATTTCTCTGTTAAGAAGCCAACCGTCGACTTCCGAAATTTAGCGAGATGCCAGTCCTAGAGTCTTAGCAAAGAACTATGTCCCCATTAGGTATTTTACTTGCCATATTGTAGTCATTCTAGAGAAAATCCGCTAAATGATGACACTCTGAATGGATCGTGGTCTGCTCTTTGGGGTTTAACCATCTCCCTTTATATACAATAAAACAAAGGAATGCTTATGTTTTGTATCATTTAATAAAGGTGACAACTCATTTGAAGCGTGAAACATCTTTTATGGAGTGAATCCTCAGATATGCATCAACAAATAACGATCAAATTGAAAGAATAATCCTAAAATAAGCTATAAAGAAATCTTCTAGAGTACAAGCAAGCTTCATCACACGTTCAAGACCAATCAAAATGGTGGCCAAAAAAGACAGTAGAGAAAAGTTTTTGGTGTAGTTTTGAATAGTTCTGTTTCTGTTTATTTGTCGATAAAACACGAGTATTTAGGTTTGTCACAAGAATTGTATATGGAAATCATGTTTTTTAAGCAAAAAGTGTAAAAATCGAACGATTTTTGCACAGTAAATAATATTAGCAGAGTTAGGTGGATGTCTTGCAAATTCAAAATTCAAATAGTGATAGAGAACAACTACTTGGTAATAACAGAAACAAAACGAGTAATTATCAAATATTTATTGCCTTTATTTATCAAATAGATTTAAGGGAAGAAACCAATTCCACTTTCCATAAGCATTAAAACTAATAAAAACAACAATTAAATGTCTTTTTCAATATTCACATTCATGCGTTTTTAAATTACATAGCAGTTTTTTTGAGCCTATATATGCCAAGCTAAGACAATGATGTTTAAATATGTGTTAAAGTACAATCACGGTAGTATTTTTTATGACTAACCCTGAGAGCGTAAGACGTCCAAAATTGGCACTGAATATAATGAAATGAGAGAGAGAGCGATATAAATGAATGAAAGACACTTACAAATGTCTTAGAATAAAAATTTTTCCGTTGCAACTATATTGGCCGAAAATACCAAAATTTTATTTTTTTCGTCGGCTCCCTACACACTTTAGTAAATGAAAAGAAGAAACTATTGTAGAATCAGAATAGAATACCACATGTTAAAATTTACATCAGCCGGTAGTTTTGCATATAAATTATTGCAATGCACTGTTTACATAAGGTCACATAAATATCTTATACCAGTTCTCCAAAAGACTCAAAAACTTTACTCTGAAATGAAGCAAAAATGCGCATTTTCAGAACGCACTTAAGAATACTTACCGAAAAATAGCTAGAATGGTTTTTGTTAAACTTTTGTAGGATAATGCTTAAATGCATTGAAGACATCCCATATATGTGTAGATGGGTTTATTTTTTCAGTTATCAAAATTACACCAATGTACTATTTTTTACTTAAATCGTATACTGTAAACGTTTATGTGTAATATACGTGGAAAGAGAATGTCAATAAAGTATCCTACGGAAAATCGACTTCAGGATATTGTAACGAATAACACGTTTGAGAATCTCTGCATACCGGATTTTATTCCCACAATGCCCAATCGTCTGACATAACTCAAACTAACTAATCCGTAGGATTTTCAAAGTTCTTGGTTCCATTCTGGCCGATCTGTTGGCGAGTAGGGGCGGGTTATTTCGATATTGGGGACAACACATTCATGAAGTAAGTAAGACATTTCAATTTTTTTCTGAAACTGACCCACCTATTTTTCTTTACCATTCATCTCGAACAAAACCATATTGCCCATTTTTGTGGCAAACCACTCTTAAAAGATAGTAAACCTTTATAAAGTTCAAATTTTGTTTTAAAATATTAATGTAAACTCTATACCCTCAATTATTATCCGTCTTTCGAGAATTAAATAACTTCATAAGCCCGTCATTGTTGAAAATATTAGTGTTTTTTCGCGTAATTTTACTTAAATTAAAGCAATTACTGAGATAATACTTAGCACACTTTTCTACACACCATCGCCAATTTTGTCTAAAATGTTTTGTGAATGAGCGCAAGTGCTTTTTAAAAAAATAAGAGACATTTTCGTAAAACGTCCTATGCATTTTCCAAAAAATTGCAAACAAAGCTAGAAATTTATTCGATCGTTTTCCTCCTACAAATTTAATATTGAAAACTAGAGATTTTGTTATTTCTTGAAGCCATTTTTTCTTGAAGAATTTTGTTTCCTCAAAATTAAAAAATATTAATTAAAAAGTATCAATATTTTTTTAATTGTATAACTTTCGCATAATTTTGTGAGAAGTTCAAAATACACTAATAATATTACAAAAATTAATTATGATTGGTAAAAAACTACATTTCCTTCTTATATAGAAGGTCATGGTGCTTATACGCAAAGCATAACTCACCGAATCTACCAACAAATATCGGAACGGAGCAGGCAAGTGGGCTGCTACCTGCCCGTTTCTAGCGGAGAACAAGCGAGAATGTCAGATCCGCACAAAAC